GAAATCGATTTTGAACCCAAATGAGGCTCTTGTTAGTTTTTCCAAATTCAGATAGTGTTATGGAAACAGTTTTATTTATATTCGTATATTTATTAAATGTTTACTAGAAAACCCTATCTTTATATGAGTTTCTATACCCTCCTTTCTTTCTCTTAATTTCTCTCACTCTTTGCATTTGCATCCTTTTATGAGTTTCTGGTTTGTTATCATACTTGTATGCTAACTAGCTGTGTCTCCTTCACAATTATGGAGAGAATCTGTTAAATTTTAAAAGACTTACCACGCAAATAAAATCACACAACTCACCCATCTATTTCGTGACTATAATGGTTCCAAATGCATGGTTAGTGATTTTGGTCTACTGATGCAAAACCAAAAAATGGGGTGTGTATATTTTTCAAAGAGAATCATTTGATCAAATACTAAGAACTCTCGTGTAATGGACGGTCTTTTAAATATATTATTATATACAAAATGAATCAGGACAATGCAATATTATATCATAGCCCTACCAAACCTATGTCTTCATCCTATAGAGAACTAGTAAATTATTGAAAAGGGATGCAATTTTATCATCTATATATCTGTATTCTATACAAAAGAGAAAAGATAAAATTATTATGTGTATGAAATTACCGATCAATCTGTTTTCTTTGATATCCTTGGGAGGGATGGCAATTTTTTATTTTATTTTTTAATTCATCATAATATTAATACAAAATATTAATTGATATTTTCTAAAGATTATAAGCAGATGTAATATAATATATAAGCATTATTTTTCAATATAAATTTATTATATCTAAGATCTGAATTCAAATTTTAAATAAGTTGATTAAAAACTACAATTATCATCATATATATTGATGAATATTGATGAACGAATGACTAGTTGATGAGTATGATACCCCTACTCACTCATATGCCCTATCCCCATCCATCAAATTTTCTTTTTGATGACTGACACGATTGCTAAGAAGTACAGACAACATCACCTCCTTCACTTTACCTACACCACTACTTCCTTACCCTACGTTGCCTTCTCTTCTTTTTCATCTTGGCACGCAAAGGGTTTGCTCACGCAAAGTGAAAACAACATAAATTTTGGAGGTGTTTGTTTTCTTGACAAATGAGACTAAGAAAAAACCCTCACGTGGAGTTGTCTGACAACCCTCATTTTTTTCCACCCAACCTGAATGAGCTATTGGGATTGCCTTAAATTACTTGTCTCCTTTCGCACCTTTTCCTTTAACCCCACCATACCCTCCTAATTAACTCTTGCTATTATATTTAATGAGGTTAGTTCATCTATAATGAACTTAAAATGTTTTATAATGGATAAACAGTTGGATCATGTATTACAAAATATTTTGTTGATATGATAAAAGTAAATTTCGCATTGCAAGTGTCTTTACATATCAAAATTAGTCTCTTATAGGTTCGAAGTACTTTAATGTATATATATATATATATATGATTCTTCAAATATTTAACTTTATTTTTTAAGTAAATTATATATAAATATTACTTATTAAAAGACTTTTTTTATTCATTAAAATTATAATGATATAAATAAAAATCGAGTATAAAAGATTTACCAGAGGTATATATACATTTGTCTTGAACTTAAACTAAAAACTTCTTTTCTTAATTGTAAGGATATTAATATTTGAAAAATCCTAATTATACTTTATCAAAATATATCATTTCTCTTCTTTTTTTTTTTTTTCACTCATCACATCGTATTACTTATTATGTATACCTATATTTTTATCTTCTTTCTTTCTCTCGATCGTAAGTGTTCAAAAGGTGCATGATATCTTAGAAAATATTTTTTTTTGTAATAGTAAACATTTCGTTAAAAGAAAGTGATAATTAATTAGTGAAAACATTTCATTAACACTTATCATTTTTCTCTTTATTTTTTTTTAATTACGTGAAATCACTTATTATACAAATATTTCTTTTCTTCTCACATAAGTGTTCAATATGTGTTATGGGTGTTCAAAATTTATTTTTATCATTGTAAATCTTTCTTTAAGCAAAAAAAGTAACGATTAATTAGTAGATACTTCTATATTCTAACAACTTATTGACAACTTATTAGCAACTTATTTATTTTTAATATTGTAAATCTTTCTTTGTTTCTCTTTTTCTACTATATCATTTACTTATTATACATATTCTTTTATTTTTCTCTCTTTATTAGAGTGAACATATTTACCAATATCTTTTTGCTTCATCAAACAAGTCTTGAAATTAAATTGTACACATACCTCTTTTCTTTTCTTTTTAATGGATCAATGCTTTCAAGCAAATAAAAATGAGAGAGAGAGAAAAAATATTTGGGAGTTTTATTTTATCTTTGATTCGGGATATGGGAGAGAGAACTCACGTGGGATAAGATATGTCTGACGCCAAGGCATGTTTTTCTACCTTACCACTTTCTTTTACCTGACTTTCCTTTTCCGTCTTTCCCGTTCATTTTGAATTTCTAACCCCTCAATCTTTTCCTTCCCCGTTCAACCTTTTTCATTCATCACGTTGAGACAAAAAGAGGTTTCTTGCATTTGGGATTTGGTCTTCATGTATCGTTACTGCTATTGTCCTTTTTTTTTTCTTTCAGATTTGCTTGGGATATGCAAATCATAGAACTCCTTTGTGGGGGGATATATGCCTGTTTTTTTTTTTGGATTCTACTTAATGCATCAATGGCGTAGCCATATGTCAACTTTAGATTGCACGAGGCCATATATTGTGTCCTATATTTAGAGCATATTAATTAGCGTCCATATTATTTAACATGTTATATGACCACTTGGTCTCCATTAAAAAGGACAATGAAGAATTTAGTATTTTTTCATGTGTGATGTGACATTTCGGGATTCTGCAATTGCTACCTAAGACTATTTCAAACACCAACTCCAATGTGAGTAACTTCCTTCCCAAATTTCATATTCACGGTGGAATAAACTCAGACAGTGGTTATGGTTATTCGAGAAAAATTGGTAACTATATATTCAATAAACTTTTAAGAGAGGAAACCAAAAGCATGGAATTATTATGTACGTCTTAATCAGGAAGAATTGATCAAAATAACATGGGATTTCGCGATTTTATTTTTTTTCACGATTTTATTTATAATTGTGTGTGTGTGTGTGGGGGGGGGGGGG